CTTCAATTTATTTTCAATCCTTATTTAAATGCTGTACTTTATACAGAACTTATTTGATATTTCAATTAAATACTATGTTCTGTCCCCTTAATCTTATTTTTATAGGTATTTTCAATATCTTATAGTATACTGTAAATTAATGTGGGTGCTGTCACCTCGAGTAAAATGTATGCCTTGTGAGGTTAGAAATATTATATATTTTGTTCACCACGGTAAAAATACTACCTAGAAAACTTAAGATACTCACTGATGATTAAAATATTATTCATTTATAAAGATAATAATACTGACAATGATGATTGTATCTTGAATTAGAATTAAGATCCTCCTGATAATTCTATAAATATTCTAAAAGTTATCATCTAAAAAACCAGAAGTTCAAGGCACTTAAGAGCAATCAAGGCAACCAGGAGAGAGCCAATACCTTAGAAAGTAGAGTTTGATGTTGATGTGAACCATATATTTTCCTTCACGAAAATGTTCCTTCAGTAAAGTTTGAAATTTATTAACAGGAAAGAGATGCCAAACATAAATTTGAGGACTGCTTGGAGAGTTTCACTGAAATAAAGTGAAAAATGTTGAAGTGTACAAATACTAAAGCAGTGAATAGTGAAGGACCAAGATCCCAGAGTTGAGCAAACTAAAGAAATATGAGCTCAAAGTCATGTCTACAACTTCCCTTCACGTTTTCTAATTCCAAGTAGTAAATGTGCACACAAGATGCTGAAAAGCACAGCACAACAGCCACAACGGGAAACTAAAGAACTAAGAAGACATTTTTCAATCATTTGGTGGAGTAGAGAAAGGGATTGGAATTCAGGGATAAACAAGGTGAAAGAAACTTGATATATACCCCAGGTTTTCAGATGAAATACCCTACTGTTTTAAATTTAAGAGAAACAAGAAATAGAACAGCCATACCTAAACAAACAAACAACAACAACAACAACAAAAAAAACTTAAAAATTAGCCTCAAAAGGATCTCTGCTCACACAATAACTGCTTTTCAGAATAAAATTAAATCTTTTTTAGAGAAAGAAAACAACATCTTTACATATAGATAAAATCTGGTACATAACCAAAGATTAAATGCATAGAAAGAAGATGAACTGACTAAACATCCAAGAGATAAATAGCCAATAGAAACAAACCTATAAGTGATCCAGGAATTTCATTAATTGAGAAACTTTCAAAAATACCACACTTGAAATATTCAAGAAAATATATATAAGATGATATAAAACTTCAAGTTGATTTAAATAAAAGGATCAAATAGAAATTGTAGAACTAAACAAAAGAAATGAAGACTTCAGGAGATGTGCTAAAAATGATTAGATAAAGCAGGAGAGATAGTCAGTGAACTCCTAGATAGGTCAATAGAAAGAACAAAATTAAAACACAAAATGTTTCAGGACATTGAAAATAAAAAGCCACAGGCAACAGAAACAAACTAGACATATGGGCTTGCACAAAATGTTTGTATTTCTACACAGTAGAGCAGTAGAGGAAACAATTAATGAAACAAAGGATCAAACAACATAATAAGAGAAAATACTTATAAACTATACATCTGATAAGGAGTTAGTATTTAAAATATATGAAAAACTAAAAAAACCTGATTTTTAAAAAATGGATCAAGTATGTGAATAGACATTTCTCAAAAGAAGACAAAGATCAACAGGTTTATGATAAAATGTTCAACATCACTATCTTCAGGGAAATACAAGTTAAAATTACAATGACACATCACCTCACAACTATTAGAATGAATATTATTAAGAAGAAAGAGATAAAAAGAGTTGTTAAGTATGCAGATGAACAGGAACTGTCTAATACTGTTGGTGGAGAGGTAAATTATTACCAGTCATTAAAGGAAACACTACGGAGTCTCCTCAAAAATTAAAAATAGAACTACCAAGTTACCAAACAATCCCACTTCTGGGATCTACCCAAATGAAATCAATATGTTAAGATATCTGTACTCCCATGTTTATTGTAGCATTACTCATAATCTTTAAGACATGAAATCAACCTAAATATCTGTCTGTGAATGGATAAGGTCACAAACATATACAAGTGGATATTATTCAGTCACAAATATAAGGAAATTATGCCATTTGCAACAAGATAAATGAACATGGAGAACATTATGCTCAGTGAAATAAGCCAGGCACAGAAAGACAAATACCATATAATCTTACTTATATATGGGGTATCTGAAAAAGCTAATATCATAATAGAGAGTATAATAGTGGTCCCAAAGACTGCAATGGAAGTAGAGGAAACACTTTTCAACCCCATGTGTAAGGCCAATACAATCTTCACACCAAAATACAAAGATATAACTAAGCAAGAAGTGAAATTTATAGTCTCAACATCTTGAATTCAAATGAAAAAATCATAAACAAAATATTAGCAAGTCAAATCTACTGGTATGTTAAAAAGAAAATGCATTATAGCCAAATTAGTTTATTCTAGGAAGACAAAGTTTAGTGTTAGAAATTAATCAGTTATATGTATAGAAAGTATTTGATATATATATATATATATATATATATATATATATATATCCCAAATAACATATATAGGATCATCATCATCATTAACAGCAGCAGCAGCAGCAGCATTATCATCAACATCTTGCCTTTGAAGATGCTAAGGAATAACCTCCTTAACCCATAGTTTCTATGAGATCTACAGGAACATTCTCATTTAGTGGGGAGTATTTAAATTTTCATCCTAAAACCAGGAAGTAGAAAAGAATGTTTGTAATGACCATCAATATGCAAATTGTACTTGAGGTAATAATCAGGACAAGGCAATAAGAAAAACAACTGAAATAAAAGTTAGAAAAAAGAAAAAGAACTATCATTATCCATAGGTGACATGATTAGATCCATAGAATATTTAATAGACTTAACAATCTATTAAACATAATAAGCAATTTCAGCAAAGTGGCTGCATACACAATCAATAAAATAAAAATAAAGATAAAATGCATTTCTATATGCTAATCAAGCATGATATCAGCAAACACCAAATAGCTAGGAATAAATCTATAAAAATGTACAACACCACTATGAAAAAAAACCTTCATAGTTTCTTGATATTGTGTATATTTCAAAAATCCCTCTATATTATTTTTTAATCAGTATGACAATTTCAGAAAGAACAGAAATTGGCTTCTCAATAATACAAGTCATTATGTATAATGGTTTCGATATTGAAGTTCATTGTAAACAAATTCTGTTCAGTGAAGACAGCAGGCATAAATTTACTCATCTCTTCAAAATCAAGGTAAATTAAATTTAGTTCTGAAGAACATCAGAAAGAAATTTACAAAGGCAAATAAACTGCAAGGATTTTGTATGAAAGGTGTAGGGTGATTTAAAAGCGTTTTAATTATTTTCAAGATAGCTAGTTGTTTTTTTTTAACTGAATATAAATAAAAATAAATTTTCCCACAGAAAAATAATTGACTTTATAAGGGAATTTTCAGAAACAATTTAATTCCTTTGAGTATTTGAGATTTGAAGACAAAATAATGTGAAATAGTTGTCAATTTTAAAATTATTTTACCTACGCATCAATTAAAAAACAATAATCTTGGCATTTCTAGAGACATACTGATTAGCAGCATGCTCTGAAAGGTGATTTTATATCCTAAAAGAATAATGTTGAATTTTAAAAGGCTTCCTTTTGATTAAGATATGACTATGTATAATTAAGAAAACAATTTAGATGTGAGCAATAGTGTTATATACATAATAGCTTCATCTTAGTCTTTTTATTAATTCTTTTTTTAAAACTATAGATGGACACAATACCTTTATTTTATTTATTTATTTTTATGTGGTGCTGAGAATCAAACCCAGTTTCTCATACATGCTAGGCAAGTGCCCTACCACTGAGTTAAACTGCAATCCGTCATCTTAGACTTACTGATACAATATTAATGAATTCATAATTCAATGTTACACTGAAATTTGGAGACACTTGAGATATATATATCTTTTATATATATATATATATATAATTTATATATATATATATAAATTATATTTAACTCCTAGAGTTATTCACTGGATACTGGTTCCAAGATCCCAGTGGATACCTGAAACCGTGTATTGTACAAAACCCAATAGATGATATAGACAACATTGCCAGCATCACTCACTGGTTTTATAGTCCAATTCCAGGCATAATGCTAATAAAGAATTACTTGAACAAAAGCACTATGATGCTGAAAAAGTGATTTGTTAACTGTGATATCTACTAAGAAGCTAGTGGGTAGGTAGTATATACAGTGTGGATACTGTGGAGAAGAAGATGATTCATGTCCTGAGACAAAGAGATGATTCATGTCCTGGGAAGGATGAACGGCCATATGAGATTTTATCACACTACTCAGGACTGTGCACAGTTTCAAACTAATAAATTATTTATTTCTGGAATTTTCCATTTAATATTTTAGATCATGAATAAAGGAAAGACTTATGTACTTTTTAAATGAAGTATTAAGTTCATGAAATACAACAAAAACAAAAACAAAACAAAGCAGAATCTTTTCCAGTTCAAAGAAAACTAAAGAAAAATAACAACTAAATGTAACTTGTCTTCATTGATTTGACTAAAAATGGGACATTAGTGGAATTACTGGAAAATATGAATAAAGTCAACTGGATCACAGTAATGCAGCAATGTTAATTCCAAAATTGGTAACTTTACTGTAGTTACATAAGACATTAGCCTCTGGAGAATCTGGTTCAAATGGTACAAGGTAATATTGTAACCATTCTATGACCACCTCTAAACATTGTACAAGATTATAGGGCAAATGAAGACAATGTTAGGAAAAGCATACTGACTCAAGTGTTACTTGGGAAAAATAAACTATAACATAACATTACTAGGATAAATACCTTAGAAACTGGTACACATCAAAATAGTGTACAGGTAATATTATAAGATAAATATTGTTTATTGGAGTTGGTACTTACTTCATCAAATGTAAAATCCTCTAAATCTATTTCTTCATATTCTTCTTCAGATTCTTCATTTTTGATAGCTTTTAGAGCTGTTGTCAGTTTCTTTCTCAAAATAAAGCCTTTCCAAACTGCCTAAACAAAAATTTAAACTATGTTATACAGGGTTATAGATCAAACCCCAAACCAGATTCTCTGTGTTATCCCATTAGAAAGATAAAACATCTTAGAACTCAGTTTAATGGCTCAATAATCTGTTTTTTGAACTTTATGTGACACTTAAAACTGTAAGATAAATTAAACGACTGCATGTGTCTGAATCTCAGGAGATTTTCTTTGTGGTAAGCAGAAAAGAATCTTTAAAACTCCCTCAACTGCACATGTAGGTCAACCAATCAATTATCTGACAATTCCTCTAGGACTCATTCTAAACTAAGAAGAAAGAGATGCAAAGAAAACCAATTTTGCTGATTTTCAAATGATTGTGTATAAAATAAGCCAAAGCATATTTAGGAAAACTTCAACATATACAAATGCCCCATAACAATTAATTAATTTCATTTTAAAATAAAGTCATCACAATGAAACTAAAAATATTCAGATTACTTAATAATCTTGGAGCTGGGATGCTTTTCAAACCATACATCTAAGTATAATGAAGCTTTAGTATCTGTATATAAACATATATAGATATATACATATGTTTATATACTGCATATGAGTTTCAGAATATATTAAGTATAAAATCCAGGCAAAAATAATTGTGGTTTATTTTTCATACTACTGTTTATGAAAAAATGTATATAAATATATTATAAACATGCACTTTAAATAAACATATTGAAGTATAATGCTGGCTTACATTTAAAATTAAAAGTATAAATTATAAAATTTATTTTTAATATGGTTACATACAAAGGCAGAAAACTAGGTAGAAGACAATAGAAACTTGACTTCTCTAAATATTCTTTGCTTGGATTTGGCTTCGGAACTATGTACATGCACACTCTGAATAAATAGCTGGTTTGTCCCATTTCTATGGTCTTTGTTTATTTCTACTTTATATGTATGTATAAACCCACTCCCCTACCTCCCCTCCCTCTGCACTCCATGGAGGGGGTGGGGAGTGAAACAGTGAAAAAAGAGCAATTATGTTAGTAGGAACCAAGAGTTTATAAAGAAAAATTGCAAATGTAAAAATTAAATAAATATCATATAGTCCCAAATGTAATTTTAAAACACCTGTATGAAACATGGTAAGTTTTTTCCTTAAAAAATTATTTTCAGTGGGGCTGGAGTTGTAGCTCAGTGGTAGATTGCTTGCCTCATATGTGTGAGGCTCTGGGTTTGATCCTTAGCACCACATAAAAATAAAATAAAGATATTGTGTCCACTTATAACTAAAAAATAAATATTAAAAAATGTGTTTTCAAGCTCAGCACATTGAAAAAAAATCTAAAAATAATGACCATATCTACATCAATTTATTCTGCTAAAATCCAGATTGGGGTCTCTGTATATTATTTCAACCAAGCAAACCAAGGATCTTTGAAGAAATTAATGAATACAAGCCTGGGACAAAATGTCTACTAAGTGAACTTGAAACAATGTATTATTTGTTATCAAATTATAAAGGAAGTAAAAATTTTTGACTACTGAATTGTATCAAAAGGTTAACTTGAAGAAACACATTGGCCAAATAAGAAACAATTTGCACATTAACAAGAATAAATGCAATGGAAATATATACGTTTATGTACAAGATTATAGGGCAAATGAAGACTATATTAGGAAAAGCATACTGACTCAAGGGTTACTTGGGAAAAATAAACTATAATATAACATTATTTATTTATTTATTTTTAAAGTTAATGAATTCATAATAATAATATGCATTATAGTAACCTCTGGAAGATGCTAGGAAACCTCACTGATCTAAAAATTGACAATTAAGGGAAAGTATCAAGCATTTAACCTGCCTTTCCAGGATAAACTGTGTAACCCAGAGTATCTAAAGAATTTATTAGAAAAAAATTTCCTGTATAGCATGTTTTAGCTAATAAACAAAAATGTACAGTATCATAATTTTACAGATCAATAATAAAATAGTTGGCATAGGAAATGTTTATAAATGGACACTAATATTCCTGAAAAGGAAGCCACCAGATATTAAGTACTTTGTTGTAACACATACCACCATCTACAAAGTATCTTTGCTGAAAATAAACAAATCTGAATCACATCGAATGTTAGATCTTGCTGTAGATTTACAAAAACAAATGAGCATGAGACATATTAAATGCACTGGGAACACACTGTGCAAAATTAGAGGAAGTACAAATCTATAAAGGACAAATGATCTGGCTTTTTCAGTGAATAAAACTTAAGGAAAAGAAGGGAATCACTCTGTGTTAAACTATAAGTATCATGCAAACCAAAGGCAAAGTGCTGAATTTGCTTATATTTTGATTATGAAAATGTTGTAAACTAACATTTGTAAAATTGGATAGGAAGTCTGAATATTGATATGATATTTGGAGATACTGAAAACTAATCATCACATTTTAGCAATATATTACAGGTATATATAAAGCAATAGGTCATACAGAAGGTAATAATGAAATATTCATAAAAGTGTGATTTGTGTCACACAATCTAGTGATGAAGAAGAAGAGATATGTTGGGTTTTAAAAGAGTCAATATTGGCTAGTAGTTTAACAATCAACATAATTTTATAAAGTGTAAAACTAAGCTTTTTATGATAGAACAGTTAGTAAAGTATACCAGAAAAATCTATGGAGGTGGGAATAAAATATAAATGCAATAAGAAAAATATATAGTATGCTTAAAAATGCCATAGACTAAAACAAATTAGGATTAGGGAGTAGGGAACATTGGGAAGGGGTTGTTATTTTAAATATAGTATCCCAGGAATCCCTCATTGTATAGTTAACATTTGAATACAAGCATAGTGGATCTATGAAACACCAACCTAAGGTTTCAAACAGTGAGCAAGATTTCTGTAGATGCCCACAAGTGCCATCTTCCATGCACTTTCATTCTGTGACCAACTTGTCTGTCAAATGTGAATCTGTACACATTTCATTAAGGAACATTTCAAATACATAGAAGAGCCCTGAGTACCTATGTCCCTTCAGTGTCAGTTGAAGGTCTTTTACTACTCAGACAAATCAGAAGCTGTGCTAAATCTGTTATTGCTGTCATTAATTCTCAGGCATGTAATCCTGGGTAGGACATGCAGGCTGCTGATAAAGACTGACATACAGTGTCTTACAAAGTCACACTGTATCTGGAGCTAGAGGACTGTCACAAGTGATGAATCCAATTCTCAATCATGCTCATCATGATCAGTCTCTGATACAGAGTAGTAGAGATTTTCTTTTCACACCCTATGATAAATACTTGACTTTCCCAGTGTTTCCATCCTTATCCCCAAAGACATGAGAAACCCAGGCTTCCAAGAATAGGTATAGTTATCTATCTTACTTTTAGGGTGGGGATGGCACCATCAAAAAAATTAGTTCCTCCTAACTTAAGATCTCTACCTATCTAACATGTCTGATGTGAAAATTCAATTTTTCTCTCAACTTGAGACAAACCCTTCTCAAGCATTCTTTGTTCAGCTACTTCCAATTCCACTTTTTGTACATGGAAGAAATTGGTTTCAATCAAACCTCACCATCAATCTCAACAGGCTGTTTTTCAGCTTCCTCTAAGATAACCTTACACAGAAGCAAGGAATATGGCAGACACAGATACTCCCTCAGAAAATTTACTTTTTTTTTTTGTTGTTCTTGCACATGTTTCAGTCTTCAGATTCCATTCACAAACTGCAATTTATTTTCTGGGAAAAGTATGTGGTAGGTCTAGGAATCCAAAAGGGGCTTTATTCTCTAATATATTTATTGCCTAAACTATATTTCTCCTTTTCACTTATATATCTTTCTTTTTTCCTAACCTCTAGATTTGTGACTATGACTGTTATTACCACTAAGCCAGCTCAACTTCATCTGTAAAATCAAAATCATAAAAGTCATGAATGATTAGATCATCATTAGCCTCCTTTCTCTCATACAACGTAGTGAAGATTAAATTAAATTAGAAATTTCTTACATATACTGGTAAGACCCTGACTGTCACACAATGGTCTCTCATCATTATTTCCCCAATATCCTTGCTCTATTACTTCTAGAAATTCTATTTACTTAGTATTCCAAGTAAGGAAAGCATGTAATACTCAACATTGCTTAAAGTTAAAAAATTGAAATTGACTAATCATTTTTGCCACTAAAAAATAAATTGCAGTATAGATAATATTCCTGCTTTGTAACTTGTTATGAACAATTTTTAACTTTTTAAGAGATTACAGGATTCTCTTAAACTGAAGAGAAGAAAATATAAATTTATTCAAGAACTTGAACAATGTTAAATGATAAAAATAGAAGATGGTGTATTTTTTTTAGAGAGAGAATTTTTTTAATATTTATTTTTTAGTTTTCAGTGGACACAACATCTTTATTTTATTTTTATGTGGTGTTGAGAATCAAACCCAGCACCTCGTGCATGCCAGGCGAGCGTGCTACCGCTTGAGCCACATCCCCAGCCCCAAAGACGGTGTATTTTTGTGTAAGGAGAAACAAAATTGGAAGCACTGCTTAAAAAAGTGGCCTTAATTTCTTAACTCACTCATTTTGAAGACTATCCCCCTCTTTATGATTGCTTTCTCCCATAGAGTTGGGTCCTTATTGCACACCAGGATATGTCACATCCTCTAGATGACTAGTATATACAAGTTATCTTAGAAAGGAACATATTTAATTTTAAACACCTGTAATTTGGGGATTATTTATTATTATTATTTTAGATTCCTTCTTCTGGATATATTATGTTATCTTGGTTTCTTGCTTCACTTTAAAATATCTTCTCCCTAACATAGAAATAAATGGACAGATGACTTCTTGAAAGTGAAGTGCCCTTCACATTCCTTTGTCCCTGACCCTGCTCTGGCAAGGTTTAAGAATTAGGCAGACATGCTTGCTTTCCCTTGATTTTTTTTTCTCTAAGGTCATTATACTTATACACCCCCACTCTTTTATACCAATATAATGATAATATATTAAGATTAGGAATAGAACCAGTAAAATGAACAGAAAGGGCAACCTTTATTTAACCTTCAAGGACTGAGCTAAAAGATTGATTCATCATGCCTCACGATGGATCTATCTAAATGATTAGCAGGATAGACCTTCTACAAAGCTGTAGTGTGTGTGTTTCTGGTGTGACACCTAGTGATACTTTCTTCATGGATCTTGTAAGGTTAGAAATTGAAGTCCCATTTTTATTAGAAATATAAAATGTGTTGGTAAGTAATCCTCATAATTTATTAGTTTCTATTAAAAGGCATAATAGTTCTGGTAATTCATTTAAAATTAGTTCATCTTTCTTACACATTCAAATTTCTTACACATTTTAATATTCTAGTTCTTTGATAGTCTAGTTGCACTGTATTTATTATTCTAGTCACATATAATCCTTTTTTTTTTTTACTGCCACTATCCTTTATACTGGAATTCCACTCTTTTATATATTAACATCAATCTCTGTTTCTCAAGCTATATTTACATAATTTGGGTTGCTGTAATGTATATTAACTTAAAAATTAATTCTAGATCTCATAACAAACACTGATGGAGGCCAAAATAAAACACATAAGACAGCACTTTAACATGAAATGATTCAGGCTTTGCAGCTATTTCAGTTTTAGTAGATAGCTTCCACAGGTTCCCAGAGGTTGTCTACATTTCAGCCAATCAGAAAATAAAAAGATATAAAGGAATGTCTGTTGGAGGTTTTGGGGGGAAGTTATACAACTTGTGCATATATTTTCTACACATATTCCATTGACTAGTACTTTAAAAGACGACCACAATAAACTTCAAGGGAAGCTGGGAAACCAACTTGGCCAATATGCCAGGAAGAAGTAAAGAATGGAAATTTTAGTCAGCAGAAAGCAGCTTCCCACTCATTCTTCATGAAATCTTTAATCTTTCTAAAACTAGAATATTTTTTCCACATTATGTTGTGTTCCAAGGATGTTTAGGCAGTCTAGAATTTATATTTTATGACAAGTAATTCAACAAACTAGATATATTATGCCCAGAAAGAGAAAAAGTGGTTGAATTCAGTGAGTTGACTATTATGATGTACAATAAAAGAAACTTGCCCTAAATTACAAAGAAAGACTAAATTATGCTTCTTTTTATTACAGATACAAAAAAACTCACCCAGTGATGTCTTTCAGTGATATTAGTTACTAATATAGACACTTTCATAAGGTAATGGACTTCTCCTTATTGAGATGAATGAAGAGAAGTTGACTACTCATTAATTATTAATGCTGAAAAATGCATTGCACAATCCAATAATGAGGGGAATTTGGGCTGCATGATATCTACATTCCTTATGCAACAGATTAATATTTGAGATAGAAATTAGATTTTTTCTCACTTTTTCTCAAAGTTTCCTTCAATCAACTGAACTACCCTCATTTCTATCATTATCTGGCAGCAGTACCAGCTTTGTCTATTCACTGCTCTCAGGAGGAATATGTACAAAAAAATTAAGTAATTTAAAATACTGGATATATTCATTAGAGCCAAGGCAGAGGCGATTCTCTTGAAAACTATAGCCTTAAAAGAAGGGATAGAAAATTTAGAGAAAAGATTCTCTCTTTTATTTTCTTAAATTTAAGGTTATTATTCCAGTTGTTTGTGCCAAATACCTAGAAGGCATCCCTAATTCCTCCTTATCTCTTATACATCATATGCCTATACATTAACTTTATCAGCTTCTCCTTCCAAAATGCATGTCAGATCTTCAAGATAAATCAGCATAGTCTAGAATGTGATAATCTTACTACTTCCACTGCAAAGATTTTGGTCTGTATCACCATTATTTCTTCTTGGGATACTGCAATAACCTCCCAACTCATTTTTCTGCTACTACTGCTGCCTCCTATAATACATTTGCAACGTAAAGTGAACCTAATCATGTCAGTCCATGATTAATCTTTTTAAAGTCCTTGAATGTCTTTCTGAATCATAGAAATAAAGCCAAAGTCTTATACAATAATCTATGACTTATAAATCCTATTTGTTTTCCCTTTTATCATTTTCCAGTCACACAATCATTTTGCTATTCTGTAAACACTGTATTTTATTAATTCAGGACTTTGGAACCTGATATTCCTTTATCTGGAATATCCTTCCCCTAGATAGCCCATGGCTTAGTCTTTGACTCCAGTGTCACATTTTATGGTCTTCCATATCCATTCTATCTAAAAGTCTAAACTTCCCTTTGATATTCCTATCCTGCTTTACATTTCACCTTGATTCTTATTATTAACATGAACATTCACTAGCAAGATTTTTATGTCAAAAATATTTGATAAATGTATGAATAAAGGGAAATGCTAAATTTTTGTTCAGTTAATTATCATTCAATTGAGGCACAGTACCACAGATATTTACAGATCTTATTTTATATATTTATTTAGTTTATGTTTGCCTCTTTCATCAGAATGTAAATGCCTTTTTAGCACAAATTTGTTTATGGTTTTATATTCTATGGATAGAAAACCCATCAAATTGAAAAAAAGAATGAATAAATAAAAAAGAATATAATCTAGTTAAAATTCAGTTTGACATATGGTCTTGGTGACATTGACTAAATCTATGTACTGCTCTCTTTCTGAATTTTTAAATAAAATGGGTATTTGAAGACCTTTAACAATTATTTTGATAGACTTCTAGAAATAACTACAGATTGGGTCAAATGAGACCTGCTTGGGCTAACCAAATCTTAACAATTTGATAAATGACATATTTGAGGAGATATTTTAAATATGACTGTGTGGTTCACCTTGACACAGCCAGAAAAATGCTATTTCAGTTTTAAAAACTATTCCTTCAATCTAGATACTAGGCAGAACCACAGCCAGTCTACAACTAACCTACAGCCTGTATGTCACACGTCATGTAACTGTAAATCACTTAGATTTCGGGGTTGTTTTTAAATAGAATAATCTAGTGAAAGATGACCAATAAATCTTTCATGACTAACCATGTTATCAAAAGATTAAAATTAACCTGAATAAGAACAGCAGCCTTCTCCCTCTGTTCTTGGTTATTCATAGTATTTTTTCTTTTTTCTTTCTTCAAAATAGTCTGAATATTGATGAAGGAATTTGGCAGGGGTTCTACTGCAGCAGTATGCCTCCGTGTAGAGAAATTGATCTGTGTGCGCACAAGGTAACCACGCCAGTGTGCCTGGATTACTACTGCTGCCCTGCTACAAAGAGGAGAAAGAAAAGTTTTAATCTGCATGAATATACACTTGTACATAAGAGGTATTCATAACCTATATTTTAAACATGAACTGCATATAGTGCTCCTTAAAACAAAGACCCTTCTTTTGTCTAACTCTAGTTATAGAAGAAAAAAAAATATGTAAACCTTCAAATTTAAAGGAGCCAATAGGCCAATATTAATGCAAGAGATACAGGTAAAAGGGGGTTTTGTTTATTTCTTTAAGAGAAATATAATAGAGATTTTGCATGATACTAAGGATTTTGATCTGGGTGGAAGGTGACAATGAGAAGAGATAAATAAATACTTAAAATACCCTCTTAAAGCCCAAAAATAAAGTCTAATGTTCTCCTAGTCCATGTCTACTTGCCAATTTCAGGCAAAAAATTAGTCAGTGCTGTGGTTTTCATATCCCCCTATGATATGCAGCAATAAAAGAAAAGTGTGATGAATATCTATGCAGCAATAAAAGAAAAGTGTGATGAATATGTACACTGATAATAAATGAGTACATGCTGTGTTTATCACTTAACTCTTTCTAATTGGAATTTTTCCCTTTCCCATAAAGATTACTGTCTTACTCTTACTCTCTTTTCAAATTCCTGAATTTGGATTAAAAGATATAAGTTGGAGAAAGGATTCTATTTTCCAATGTTCTCTTGAAACAGTTTTCAATAGTTTTGTAATTTATCAAACCCAATGAAATTTTGTCCTTTCCTCATACAATCTGGTTTAAGACAAAGTCTACTTAAGGAATTCTTTCTATCATACATGACCATAGTTTATTTGTGAGAATTTAGAAAAGTAATAATACAATTATTTGCTAATGCTAGTTTGGTTTATTATTGTATTACTATCATCATCATAATCATCATCTTTTCTTAACAAATATCATAAAGTAAAAAATATCCTTAGCATAAGTGTATTCATAAATCAGGCTTAGGAAACTTTGACATAGCCTACAGTACATCTTTCTGAATTACTAAATGGCAAATTTTAGTAGGTAAGTATACATTTTCTTTTCCTTTATTCTTGAAGTCTTTGATTTACATCTCTGTTTTCACTTATTCATCCCTACATACTTTTATCCTTTAGCTACTTTATTTATCATTCAGAAGTTCCAAGTATTATTTATATAAAATTTCAATAGGCAATGTCTGCAGTGTTTGGAGCAAAAGCAATCAATTAAATAAATCAGTAAAGTATAAATCAGGAAACAGTAAAGCCATTTTTAAATAAAATATTATTTCTATAATTGGAAATAAACATCAGTTTTAGGATATTAAACTATTTAACAACTCCCAGAAAGGAAATCACTGCATACACTGATAACTTCTCAAAGTAGGAAGACTGGGGAAAGCAAAAATAGCTACTGTGCTTTTCTGACTCCTTCCCTGTTCAGCTCAGCACCAATCACTGTCAGAAAATCTGAGTCTGACATTTTTTCTCTCTCATTGGCTAGACACGAAGGAAAAACAAAACAAAAAAAGAGATCAAGAAGTTGATAGGCCAAAGTGAAAATCAACCTTTGCTGGTTCAATAAGCAATAAAAGCCAGCCATTAGCCTTCAAATATAAAAGTGTTTAATAATTGCAAGGAATTTTATGTGATTAATCATGAAGATTAGTTCTGGACCTTACAAAACTGTTATGCCAAGAATATTACAGTATACAAATATCTGCACACATGCTTATTAAATGTTTTACTACATTGGAAAATACTTAGCAAATACAAAGGTATAGTTTTTAAATAAATTACTTGATTATTCAGAAAGTATCATTTAATTATTTTAGAATATAATATTTTATTTCTCTTTCAAATTATCTCAGTTATTTAGAAATTACAAGGCAAGAAAAATTTCACATTTATTCAATTTTAATGAATACTAGAAATCAAATCAAAACTAGACAAAGTTAATCAAATTAATCTGCATGGTGATTAATTTGTACACATCATAAAAACATAGTTAAGGGAATTGATATAAAATATTATAGCGATTTAAACCTTGACCAACTTATTATTTAGCACCATTGACTTAATATCATCCATCAAAAATAGTAAATATAACATCTGCAAAGAATATGACTTACAAATCTTACATTTTTTCACTCTGTTCCATATGCTGGTGATTCCTCAGCAGAGAATTTGTCATTTCTGTTTCCATGAATGAACTTCCTTTGGTGGGGATGCTTTTTGTCTTACCATCTTCTTTCTTCAGGCCTGCTAATTTTTCCTGACTTCTTCCTTCCACAACTTCATATGCAGAGGAGTAGCTTATTGGGGAATTATTAAAGCAAGGGTCCATCCACTGCTCAGAAATTCCTGGTGAGTCTGTTCTATGTTTGTTGGTGCTAGAGTGGAAGACTTCATCTTGCAGTATGAAGTCACTGCTTGGAATGGCCAAATGATTTTTCTGGGTTTCTGATTCATCTCTCTTAGTGATACTTATATCCCCATGTTCATGTGCATATCTGCATTCACTACTAAGTGTCATCAACTTCTTAAAATAATAACAGAAATTTTCTGCAGTATCCAAGGTGAACACATCCCTGAACAAATAAATGATGAGACCATTTAGTATTAAATACTATTCAGTAAGTATAAAACTTCAATAGATTTTGCAAATAAATTTTGTTACACGGCCTAAAATGAACATTAAAATTAATTAAAAGATTCACTGTAAATTACTTCTAGTTATTTATAAAATTCACCTCATTATAAACAAAATCTTAAAATGTTTTTGTTATTTAATTTAGAACTGTCAGTCCAGACAAAATGTCTGGAAGATTTAGAACCATTTTTATTCAAGATATTTTTGGTACAACTGAATGAGAAAAATTCATGCTTTTATTACCATAAACATGAGAAATCATGGCTGCCTAAATTTGGAGAAGTTATTTATGAAATAAATTTAAAAAGTACTTTCTACATTGACTCTTGCCACACAAAATATTTGTATTGGACTTTTAAACAAAGAATTTATGTTATGGGAAAGTTTGTATTTCTATTTTTCTTTGGAAAAACAATCCATTGCAAAGAGATTTCAAATATTTTAAGACATAAATAGGTGAGATTCTCTTAAAAAATTGTGGATTTCTCTTTTGTATATTGTTATTTATGTAATTACTCAAACTTTCATGTGTTTGTCAGTTATGAAGCCCCCAATAACAAATGTAAAGGATACATGAGCATTATTCTTAGAGACAATTTATTTATCTTCCTTTAAACGTATCATATTTTGAAAATGTTTTACTTATTTCAAAAATATATTTTATGGATATATTTAACATATAGTCACAAGTTTGTTTATTTTTTCTTCTGAAATAATGCACTATATAAAAATATTTCATCATAACAAACAAAATAGAAGCTATAATTATTTCCTAACAATGTAAAGATAATTAGATAGTTTCTGTGTTCGTAAAGTTAATTACTAGGCATTAGCAAAGATTTCTTCAATATATTTTTCATATTTTGTATTTTACTCATTTTATTTACTAAAAATTAGAAAAGGTACACAGTGATATCAAATGTTTATGGTAAGGTGCTGAATTCACTGATACAGTGCATTTTATTTTTCCTGTTATAAGGAAGACTCATCATAAGTGAAAAAAATGTGAGAACATTTCTTGTAGCTTATTTGTAATTTATGAAGAGATGCAGATTTTAAAGTCCAGTTTTAAAAAGATCAATTATAATTCTATTTATTTATTTATTTATTTATTTATTACCATGGATTGAACCCAGGGATACTCAACCACTAAGCCACATCCCCATCCCTTTTTTTATATTTTTAAATTTAGAGACAGGGTCTCTCCAGTTGCTTAGGGTCCCACTAAGTTGTGGATGCTGGCTTGAATTTGCAATACTCTTGCTTCAAGCAGCCTCCTGAGCTGTATAGGTGTACACTACCACACCCAGCTTATAATTCATTCATTGTAATTCCACCAGGATTCAAAGTGGGGTGGGGAAAAGAAAGTTCTCTTTCTTCAATATTTGATTACGATTCAGCTTCTGTGCTCTGAATACATGTAAGAGTTGACATGTATCTTAAAATTTGGTCCTGTAATACCTTAATATACACATATATTTATTATATGTACCTTAAAATTTAATATATATTATGTTATAAAACTTGTTTTACTCAATTGTAACATTTTATTTACCTAATTTTCTTTTATGTTAATCTGTGAATTCTTTGAGGATAGTCTTAATAATTGTTAAATAAATTTACAACTGATTATTGATAACTAATAGAATGAATGTTTGCAGTGTCTTGAAACTTTTTTCAAGTTTCTATTTGTTTTATCTAATATTTTAGCATTGAAATATATCAAACTACACTCAAAATATATATTGATGTATTTCTAAGAATAAAACCATGAAGTCTAGAAGTTTTTCTAAAGGTAGAATATCCCCTGGAACAAACTGATTTAAAGCAAAAACAGAATGATTGTGACAATCAGCATATTTAAAAATTATGTGTATATTTTACTTTATTTTAAATACTACCAGGAGGAGATAAGAATCTTACCTATTTCCATTGACATACTTTTCACTTAGTAAGTTGAATTCTCGAATTTGGGACTGACAAAATGCAAGCAAATGTCTTGATTCTAGATGACAGTGTTCTTGAGTGTGGATTTCTGAATGAGAGTTTACCGTATCACCATTAAGGATTTTTAGAGAAGGTAACACTTCAAGTAGAGAATGTCTATTAGAAATAGAAAACAAAATGTTAATCTTGATATGAAGAGTACATACTTAAAAATTACCATATGTCTAAGACATAAATAAGCACACAGTGTATTTCTCAGAAAATGCAATTGGTTTTGCAGAGAAAAACGTACAGTTTGTTTAAAATTTACAGTATCCTAACATGCACAAAGTAAGTTTTAGAACTCCTGATGTGCATTTTATCATATTCTTCAAAAATGCACATAGGAAAATCAAAAGTAGAAACTTATGCTGGAATTGGAAGTATAAAAGGCTGCATTATGAAAAGAATGATAATATGAGATAAACTCTTACTTAGCAGATAATTAAAATAATATTGCTGAAAGTTACCATTTTCTTCAGAAATAGAGATTAATTTTCACTGTCAGTAAAATGTAGTGACAAAAGAGTTAGGAGATAACTTTCATAACCTGGAACACCTAAAATTACATTTTCTCCCAAATCTTGATAAGGATTGTAATTATAACAATTATCAAAATGTGATCAAAAGTCTGTAAGAAGTGTGGGGGTTGTGGCTCAGTGGTAGAGTGCTTGCCTGGCACATGCGAGACCCTGGGTTCGATCCTCAGCACCACATAAAAAAACTGAACAAGTGAAATAAAGGTGTTGTGTCCAACTACAACTAAAAAATAAAATATTAAAAAAAGTCTGTAACAATTTAAAAGATAAATTATACTTAAAAAAAGTCAGAAAGCAAGAGTTTTCCATTAATCCTAGTCTTTAAGAAATAATTGCCCAAATCTTACACAAAATAGTATAATAATCTTTACACAATGATGCTAATGGTCACTAGGGAAAAGTGGACTCAATGAACAAGACTCCAATTTTTAAGGATTAATTGGTCCTTTGAGGAAATCTACAAAACCCTGATGAAAGATTCCAGAGAAAAATACCTAAAAGGAAAGATATCCCATATTCACAGGTAAGAAAACTTAGTATTGACAAGATGTCAGTTCTTCCTCTATTGATTTAAGGATTCAACTTAATCCAAAATCAAATCCCAGCAAGTTTTTGTATACATTAATAAATCTATTCTAAAGTTTATGTATAGATGCAAAAAATTAGAATAGCTAACATAATATTAAAGAAGAAAAAGTTAAGGGACTGACACTGTCCAACTCCAAGACTGAATTGGACAATTACAATAACCAAGATAGTAAGGTAATAGGTAAAAAATAAAAAGAGACAAATATAGCAACAGAATAGAATATATAGGCCAGAAAATAGAGAAATAGAATGATCTGATCTTTGACAAAAGAGAAAAGGCAGTATAATGAAGCAAAGATTGCATTTTTAACAAATGGTTCTAGACTAGTTGGACTCCCACACTTAAAAAATATGAATCTAGATAGACCTTAAATCCTCCACAAAACATTAACTCAAAATTGATAAAAGAAGTGAACGTAAAATGTGAAAGTATAAAATTCCTATAACATAGGAGAAAAACCTAGATAACCTTGGATATGGGATGACTTTTTAGATCAAACATCAAACATTTGATCAATGAAAAAAATCAATAAGATAAACATGTTATTAAAGACTTCTACTCTATCAAAAGACTATGTCAAGAAAGTGGGAAAACAAGCTAAAGAGTAGGAGGAAACAATTGAAAAATATAGGGTTGATAAAAGATTGTTATTCAGTATATACAAAGAACAATGAAAAGTCAACAATAAGAAAATGCACAGATTAATTAAAAAATGGGCAAAAGACCTGACCAGATATACTCATTAAAGAAAGCATAAAGATGGTTTTTAAAAAGTAGGAAAATATATACATCATAATAATTTTGAAGTGCAAATTAAAATAACCATAATATATTACTATACATTTTAGAAAGGCCAAATTTTGAAACACTGATAATAACAAATGAAAGTAAACATGTAAAGCAAAGAAAATCTTCCTTGTTGGTGGGAATGCAAAATTACATAGTCACTGTGGAAGGCAATTTAAACATTTCTTATAAAATACTTACATCCTTACCATATGATTCAGCAATAGTACTTATTAGTATTTACTGAAATGAATTAAAAATTTGTGACTTCTAAAGTGCAAGAAGTAAAATCAAGAATCAATAAATGGGAAGGATTCAAACTAAAAAGCTTCTTTTCAACCAAAAATCTTGGGATAAAATCTTTACCACATGCACCTCAAATACAGCATTAATCTCCAGGATATATAAAGAACTAAAAAATCAACACCAAAAAAAACAAACAACTCAATCAACAAATGGGCTAAGGAACTGAACAGACACTTCACAGAAGAAGAAATACAGTCAACAAAAATATGAAAAAATGTTCATCATCTGAAATGCAAATCAAACCTTAAAATTTCATCTCACTCTAGTCAGAATGGTAATTATCAAGAATACAAGCAACAATAAGTGTTGGTGAGGATGTGGGGAAAAAGATACACTCATACATTGCTGGTGGGACTGCAAATTGGTACAACCACTCTGAAAAGCAGTATAGAGATTCCTCAGAAATCTTATAATGGAACCACCATTTGACCCAGCTATCCCACTCCTTGGTCTATACCCAAAGGACTTTAAACCAGCATACTACGCCCTTTAACAGATAAATGGATAAAGAAAATGTGGTACATATACACAATTGAATATTACTCATAATATGAAATCATGCCATAAAGAAGAATGAAATTATAGCATTTGCCAGTAAATAGATGGAGTATTTCATGCTAAGTGGAATAAGCCAAACTGAAAAAAACCAAAGACCAAATGTTTTTTTCTGATAAGCGGCTGCTAATACATATTGGGGGTAGGAGGTAGGGAAAAATGAAGGGACTTTGAATTGTGCAGAGGAGAGTGAGAAGAGGGGAGTCGGTGTTAGGATGGGAAGGATTGTGGAATGAGACATATATACATGTATGATTACACTAGTGGTGACTCTGCACTATGTTCAGTCATAGGAAGGATAAATTGTGCTCTATCAGTGTACAATGTGTCAAAATGCATTCTACTGTCATGTATTACTAACTAGAACAAATTAAAAAATAAAATTAAAAAATTATGTCCACATCAAAATCTGCAGAGATCTTTATACTGGCTTTATTTATAGTTACCAAAACATAAAAGCAACCAAAGTGTCCTTCAGGAGATGTGTGGATAAAGAATCTGTGGTATAAATAGCCAATGGATATTATTAAGTGCTAATAAAAGGTGAACTATAAAGCTAGGATATGGGGAAAATTAAATTCATCTAAAAAGGTTACATATATTGTTAAACTATATAACATTTATGTAAAGGTAAAATTATGAAGACAGTAAGATCACTGGTTGTCATAGGGTGGAATTGGGAGACAAGGATAGAGAGAACACAAATTTTTAGGGCAGTCAGTGGAAGTATTCTATATGATACAACAATGGTAGGTAAATGCCACTAAACATTTGTCAAGAGTCACAGAACATAAAGTAGCAGATTAAACCCCAATGTGAAGTATGAATTTGGGGTAACAATACCGTGTCAATGCATTTCCTTGATTGTGACAATTGTACCACTTTGGGCAGGATGTTAATAATGGGAGAGTTGGTGCATGTGTGGTTATGGGGTATGTGGAACTCTTTGTACTTTATGCTCATTTTTCTGTAAATCTATAACTGCTTCAAAAATAAATTTTATTAATCAGAAAAGATAAAATAACAATTATTTGACACAGGAGGAGGGATGACAGGGTAAGATTACTAAAATGGTTAAGATTTAAAAGGGAAAATTCCAATGAAAATATTAGTATCAGTTATTCCTACTGGTAGACTGTATAGGCTGGTTAACATATTCATTTATATAAACCAAGTTGGAAAACAAAACATTAATAGTTTCTTCTCATGGAAGATATGACCTGCAAAGAAAAAATGCATAGGGTTAATCAAAGCCATAAGGCACACCTGCATATAATTGCAATTTATGTAATCTTGAAACTGAATTAAAGATAATAACGAATTAATCTTCCTCCATGACAACAACAACAAAAGAATAGAAAATTTCTTTATTTACCAAGGATAGAGATGGTTACCTCCCCAAATTGCCTTTATCCCTTTCCAAAAAAACATCTTTTTTGCTTACTAATATTTAAATAAGAAAAGAGGGAAAACAATTTAGGTCTCATTCTTTAAGGGAATTATCATATACCTTACAATGTTAGATAGCTAAAAAGCTTTGTCATTGTGCTAATAAAACTTTGAAAGAATTAAGAATATTTGGATACATACATTTTGAACCTATTTAGGAAACTTGAAGTTACCAATGTTTATCAAATCATAAACTGCCACATTTACCATAAGGGGTTAAATGAAGGGCATATATTGTGTTTCTGGTTGCATTCAATTAAGGATATGGTTCAAAAGCCAAATGTTATATTAATATAATAGCTAATCATCACAGTGGTGACAAGATAATCAGAGGTAATCACCAAAAAGATGAAATATTAAATACTACATAAAATCTTTGATTAGGTTCTCATCATAAAAGCAAAAGTCATTATCTGAAATTTAAGTTATTAATAATCAAAATAGATGAAGAGATCAACTATCCATATTCCACACTATTCTACCCTGCAAATTTGTTCATTACGTTAGCATAAGGCTACATTGTGTTGTTGTTACGTTTCCATCAAACTACCAAGTTTTTTAAAGATATGACTGAAAGGTCAAAATAAATGATCTAGTTAAAATCATAATGTATTAGGTATGAAATAATGATGCTTTTGAGATAGATAGTAAAAGAAATTAAGTTAAGAATGTGTCTATGTTCCTTTAACATTAAAAACAGATATTCTGATTCTTTGTATTGTTTCTTTAGGTTCTACTTCTTAAACTGTAGATAAGCAATCATAAAGTTTTGACAACTTGATGGAAGCATTCTTGAGCATAACCATCCCATAACCAGTGTTTTTTAATTCTTTGGGTACCAAGCAAATTTCCGTCTGATGCCTTGGGGACCTGACTGGCAGAAGGAAGGAGGT